TTATTATTATTATTACTCCTCCTCATCCTCCTCCTCCTCCTCCATCTACTCATCCCACAAATTGGGGAAAACCACTGAAATGGATCGTGGCTGTTAATACAAAAGATGAAGAAGTCTTAAAGCTCAGGAAGAAGAGGTTGCATGAAAGAGAAAATTCTAAGACAATTCAAATTTATTATCAATATAACAAAAACATTCTATTTCAGCTAAATGAGACTATCTAGCATGCATTCACTAGCATGTCCAGGGTTTCTTTTTTTTATTCTGCATATAACTTGTGTAGGAATTGGCTGCAAGGATCCAAAAAGCACCCTTATGATTATTCAGTATAATTCAAAGCAACATAATCACATCAAATCTTATTTCAAAAGCAAAGCAAAAGTGTAACCTCTGAAAATTTGTTTTATGCTTTTAATTTTAGAAATGTTTCTCATACTACTGTAGATGTTTGCGTAAGTAATATCAGGGCGTGGACAAGCCAATGCTATGTAGATAAGAAAAACACATACAATATATCATAAGGACTGGCCTGACTTAAAAAAGAAAAATAAACTATAAACATTATATGTAAGATACAGAATGAAATATTTCTAATTTGTAGTTAATTTCTAAATCACTGCATATCATTCACACTGAACACAACTTGCCTATAAACACGGGCTTTATATAGTGCTACCTTGTTTATTTGCTGTTTGTTTACCACACTTGTATTGCAGCCATTTTTGATAACACTTAGCTGAAATGAGTGGTAATGTTTCAATGACATGTTTACCCATGGTTGAATTAACCACAGTTTAATCAAGTATTTCCGTGTTCTGAGTTTGTATGACACACAGTGAATTTCAACAATAAATTATGCTAGAATATGGCTGGCTAATTTACAATTCAGTGTATTGTCTGAACACAGAAGTACATCATTTCGCTCGTCATGGTTTCTATGCTTATGCTAAAAATTAAATAGCAACATGTAAAGCTGCAACTATTTTCTATCTAAATTTAGCTTAGTCTGATTAAACCACAATGACTGGATTTGCACAACATCCTAGTCAAAGCAAAGTAATATGGTTTAGTGTAATGTGTGGACCTCAATATAAAACTAGACAAATTTCAATGGTTTTATGGATGGGATAATTGAGTGAATAATGTCCTGGTAATAGTGTCTAATCCAAATTGTGAAAAGCCAGCTTCACTGCCTTTGGGGCCCTTCTGCCCCAGTGCCCTGATCCAATTCCTCCATGTTAAGCCTTTGGATTGGATTCAAGGGAATCTGAATCCAATCCTCAGAATATAAGCACTCTGAAGAGGAACTTTTTAGAGAAAAGATCCTAGGACTGACAGTCAAACTCAGTCTTTTCCTTAATTGTTTTCCCTGGTACAAAAGACCAACGTATTGAGAAAACATAGGAAAGTTATAAATATCAATATAATAACATTTGGTCTCCCCATTAAAATCCATGAATGAGCCAAAACAATTATATGATTTGTTTAAAAAATGGAAGCTTACTACACATATTCTCTGTATTCTGAGAGATTTTTCAACTTGAAAAAAAAAATTCTTATCAGTGGCAGACTACACACATACTGAGCCATGAGCTTTAAAAAAAAAAAGAACAATAGATTGATCAATACAATATATTCTGCCATAAACCATGCTTCCAAACCTCAGTTCATACATATGCAAAGCTATATCACGGTTGGTTTGGCTGTAGATTAGCGTGAACCCAGCTGGTTCTTCCATGTTGGTTCATACATACTTCTAAACATTAGTTTGCTTAATCATGATTTACTAAATGACTGTTTAGTTTCACATAGCATGCTAAGCCATAAACAATTATTTATAAATTACAATGGCAGATTCACACAAGATGTTTAATTGCAATCAAGCAAAGTAAATTATAACTTTGTACAATGGGTAAGTCTTGCAGCTTAGAACAAGTCACTCAAGTACCTTGAATTTTTATGTATTAGGGTTATTAACTATAACAAGTTAATTGAACTGACATTATCTGGGAAATAAGTCATCAAATCTGCAAATTTTGTACTCTAAACTTTTCAGCTATAGGATGGATGGCTGTGGAAAATGAACGCTGCCTATCTGCTTTAACCTCACTGGCATCAAAGCCCTGGCATTCAAAAGCAGTTTAAGGTCGGGGAACTGAGTGAAATCATGCATTTAACACCCATTCCCAAACATGTAATTATCTATTTATGTTTTTTATCCTGCTCCCTATTTTATCTGGGGGGGAAAAAGATCCTAAAAGGTACAGTATGAGATGGCAGCAGAAACGCATAAAAGATAATGACAGCCAAGCAGGTCCACGGAAAAGAAAAACATCCAATACAGGTCAGAGCAACAAAAACATCACCAAAAATGGGTGGACGCTTTGGAGTTCTTCAGAACGCTTCATCGGAGAAGACATTACGTACAACAAGGCACAGGGAAGACACCTGGACGTCCAAGACCCAGGGCAGCCGAGATACATAATGTGCGGAAGGTGCACGGTGCCTCGCGGGGCCCCAAACCACATCCCGGGGATCCGCATTGATCTATTTAAGGGGCTGGTCCAGCCTCCCGCCCCGCCCCCCGCCATCCCTAGAGCGAGTCAGAGCCCCCCGAAGGGTGCCTGGCAGTGGGAGGGGCCCCCGCCCCGCCAGCCGGGCTTTCAGGGCGCCCCGGCCCGCCTCCCCGAAGTGA